ATTTTCCCTCTCCTCTTAGGCACTTGAATTCTAATAATATTTCTTCCATATTTTACAGCTATGCAAGGAGTAGAGAATTTTGCCATCAGTACACTGAAAAAGGCTGCACAACACATTTGTATGAATATACGATATCCTTGGGGTATAGCTTAAGTGAAACTGCATGCAGAGGGGATCAGAGAGGTGAGAAATTCTTATTTTGGCCATGTTAAAGTCAATATAAACACTGTGTGTGCTGGTGTTGTAAATATATATATGAGAACAATAAAAGGTTGGCATAGATCTCTGAACAAAACCCATATAGCCCATCACCTGTGCTTATGTATTATGGATGCATTCTTAAGACCATTGCTCTGTGGCACCAGAAGGTGCTGTAGACATCAAATGAAGTTATGAATTCCATTCATCTTCTAAATTTCTTTTACAGTGTTGGAAAATGACATTCACTGCTTCATCCTATGGCAACTTTAAGATGTTACCATGCAGTCAACCTATCCTTCAGGTAAGCACACAGCTCACAGAAAAGAGGGCCTGAAGAGCTGAGTAACACTTTCAAAACAAAACTGAGAGCTTTCAAGATTTGTTTTGCATGTTTTGAGATTTTCTTACAAAATTGTACCTTAAAGTATTTCATTGTGTGTACTGAGATAAATTATTCATACCTGTAGAACAATGTGTGGTTTGGGACAGAAATCAGCCATGTTTAAGTGGTTGAAACTGGCTTTTTCTGTTTTGCTTCTGTTTGAAGCAAAGTTTGCTTTACTTTGTTTCACTTCTGTTATGACACTGACTGTGTGGAATACTCAGAAACCTTTAGATAAATGACACTGCAGCACAGCAGACTATGGTTATGACTGATGCTTATTTAGTTACATTGAACTACTGGCTTTGCCACAGACCGTTCAAGTGATCTTGCTCAATTAAATTAAGCCCTGTGTCAAATGAAAATAGTGGAGACTACTTCTGTTTTCTCTTTGCTGTCTACTTAGGCTGTTGGGCATTTGATTGTAATAGAGTGGTTGTCATGTAGACGACTGGCAAAATGAAGCCCCAATCTTGAATGGAGCCTGTAAACAACACTGCAAAGTAGCAAAGTTAATAGTTTGAAATGGTGATGCTAGAACTTGGTGTGTATATTTTAAGTGAGGGACATCTGGTCCTCTATAGTCCGAGATATCCCTGGGTCAACGAGTTTTAGTCAAATTGGTCAGGAGAGATCTGCTCCTTTGTATCAGGCCCAGTTCCTCCAGGCACTGTACAAGCAGTATCTTGAGAATTTATGGTCATCAGAAACTACCTTGAAGAACCACAGAATGTTTGGTGTTGGAAGGGAACTCTGTGGATCATCTAGTCCAATCCCCCTGCCAAAGCAGGGTCATCTAGAGCAGGTTACACAGGACCTTGTCCGGGCAGGTTTTGAATATCTCCAGAGAAGGAGACTCCACAACCTCTCTGGGCAACCTGCTCCAGTGCTCCTTCACCCTCAGAGTGAAGAAGTTCGTTTTTATATAGAGGGAAAATCTACTTTCTTATTGCTGCTGCTGAAGGCCTGCCTGCAGCATTAGCTCTGCCATCCTCTACTCTGAAGTGCCTTTCCTCCCCTTCTGCTGCTTTTGCAGCCACCCATTGATGGGATTGGATGGGATGGAGAGCAGGAAAGGTTGCTGCAGAAAGGGGAGGCTTGGTAGAATCAAACTCTTTATATCAAATTAAAATCAAGTGCTGTTATTTAAAGATAACCTCCTGCCAGGTGTAGATTAGCCCAGGACTGAGCTGCTGAGAGTGTTGAGGACAATTTAAAAATTTCATTCAAACCTACCGGAATTTAAATTCAAACCTTCTTTGCTTTGCCTGCAAATGACCATAGCATCATTGGCTGCAGCTGTGCAGCCTGTGGGCAAAGTTCTGCTGTTTGCATGTCCGTGCCAGCAAAGTGCTCCTTAGCCTGAGAGGAGGCACTGAGACCTGGCTGTGCAGAGTCTCCATAGAGCCCCCTTGGCCCTGTGTGTGTGGACTGAGAACAGCTGTGAACTGCTGACTCGCTGTGTGAGAGGGCTACAGAGAGATAGTCATATGTGGAACTATTTCATACTCATTACTGTTTTGTGAAATGCTTAATAATTCCACCGCACATTATATATGGAATTAATAACTTCATGTGATGTCCTTTACACCTGAGCAGATAAACAGTCTTTTTTTGGAAGAATGTATTAGAGATACATCATATGACCTTATATCATCTAGATACTGTCACACTGAAGCTTTACAATTAAGAATTACAAGAAATATCTTGGACAAGGCAGGCATTATTTTAGAAATGTTAAGCACCCATTCTGTGCTTCTAGTACAATGTTAACAGATTGTTTACAGTTAGGTGCTGATAATAAATCCAAATATTTTACAGTATGGGAAACATTCACTGCTTGCATGTCTCTGTTTTCATATGATGTGCAGGTTATAGTTTCAGGAACAAGTCAGCGCCTATGAGTGCTTCATATTACATAAGTGAACCTCAACATGCAAGGCAATGCAGATCTTGTTTTAACAGCTTTGTTCTGATCTTACTTTTTTTTTTTCTCTTGCGCACATATAGATCTTTCCC